CTGCACGTCCCTCAGCATCAAAGGTGAGAACGGTAGGACTAGCCATAGTAGCAGTAGGAGCAGCAGCAGTGCAAAGCAGTAGGAGGAGCAGTAGCAGCAGTAGCAGCAGTAGAAGCAGTAGCAGCAGTCGAAGCAGTAGCAGCAGTGCTGCTCGGTAGAGCAGGGCGGCTCGGTGGGGGCAGCGCGGCTCGGCAGAGCGGCGCGGCTCGGCTGGGCGGGGCGGCTCGGCTGGGCGGCGTGGCTCGGCTGGGCGGCGCGGCTCGGCTACTGGCGGCGCGGCAGCAGGGGGGGGGGGGAGCACGAGTGCTTACCAGGGGCCGCTGTTGGGGCGGCAGCTGGGCAGGGCCAGGTCGACGGGCGGCGGGTCAGCGACGGGCGGCAGGTCGGCGACTGGCGGCTGGACAGGGACGGGCGGCAGTTCGGCGACGGGCGGCTGGTCAGGGACGGGCGGCAGGTCGGCGACGGGCGGCTGGTCAGGGACGGGCGGCAGATCGGCGATGGGCGGCTGGTCAGGGACGGGCGGCAGGTCGACGACGGGCGGCTGGTCAGGGACGGGCGGCTGATCAGGGACGGGCGGCGGGTCGGCGACGGGCGGCTGGTCAGGGGCGGGCGGCAGGTCGGCGGCGGGCTGCTGGTCAGTGAAGGGGCCGCGACGGGGCCGTGAAGGGGCCGCGACAGGCCGTGAAGGGGCCGCGACGGGCCGTGAAGGGGCCGCGACGGGCCGCGAAGGGGCCGCTACGGGCCGCAAAGGGGCTGCTACGGGCCGCGAAGGGGCCGCTACGGGCCGGACAGGGGCCGCGACGGGCCGCGAAGGGGCCGCTACGGGCCAGAAAGGGGCCGCTACGGGCCGGAATGGGGCCGCTACGGGCCGCGAAGGGGCCACTACGGGCCGCGAAGGGGCCGCTACGGGCCGGAAAGGGGCCGTTACGGGCCGGAAAGGGGCCGCTACGGGCCGCAAAAGGGGCCTCTACGGGCCGTGAAGGGGCCGCTACGGGCCGCGAAGGGGCCTCGAAGGGCAGGCGCGACGCGCGCGTCGGGCAGATAAGGAAAAAAAAAATTCAGTGGTGGGCCCTTAGGAAAAAAAAAACCGAACTAGCTCTGATACCATGTGAGAGAATTGAGGAATGATTGAACTAGAAACGAGGTGGGTACAAGTAGAGAACACAAAAGTGTTGTACCCTCTAAGAACTACCCCACTACAGCCTAAACAGACTATAGCAGATATAAGTTTGACACCCCGGCCACCCTTGCTCTTGCTGCTGCGGCGCTTCGCACTAGTTGAAGCAGCACCGACGTCCTCAGTAACAGAGACGTCTGCAGCAGCAGCAGAGGCGAAGGAGGGGGAAAGGGGGGAGGGGGAGCACCCCTCAAAGAAGGGCGAGCGCGGAGTGCCACGAGCAGCACCTACAGCATCTGCACTAGTCTCAGCTGCGAGGAGATGCTACTCGAGGAGGTCAATAGTGAGGGAGGTGGGGTCCAGGGAGAGAAAGTGGTCCCTGATAGAGCGAAGAGAGTCAAGGAGGCGAGAGACTAAGAAGTAGAGGGTGATGAACATGGGGGGCTGGTTCGTGGCAAGGAACTCAGCAGGGACGGTAGCGTGGTAGCGAGCGTCGCTAGTGCGCAGGTGGGTAACCAGGTCCGCTACTGTGGCAAAAGCCGACAGCTCAGGGAACAGGTAGGGTAGTAGCAGTTTGCCTAGAGCAGCAGTAGCAGGGGAGGAGTAGCGAGCAATGACAGCGTCGTACAGGGTCTGTGCTGTCCTGTGCTGTCCAAAGTGAGTACATTCGGCCACCGGCAGGTGGTTGCAAATGGCTAAGCGGGCAGTAGCGTCACGAGACAGCCACTGGGAACGAGTCGAACCGTCAGCTGTGGCGGGAGGGGCTGGAGCGACACCGGACACGTGGTGAAAAAGTGAGACACTGTCCTTACTATCGCTCAATAGGTACAGTTGCAGATCGTCGTGCCACGTGTCAAATGCAACTGGTCGGCCCTCATGATCGAACGTTAGAACTCTAAGCGAAGCCATAGTGGCGCAGCACTCAGGAGCAGCAATAGCAGCAGTAGCAGCAGGAGCAGCAGTAGCAGTAGCAGTAGCAGCACTTGCAGGAGCAGTTGCCAAGGGGACAAGGGGCGGGGCCGAGGGGCCTAGGGGCCGAGGGGCCAAACACGAGGGTGGCGGGGCCGAGGGGCCAAACAGGAGGCCTAGGGGCCAAAGGGGCCTAGGGGCCGAGGGGCGGGGCCGAGGGGCGGGGCTAGGGGCGACGGGGCCAACGGGGCCGAGGGGCGCGGCTAGGGGCGACAGGGCCAACGGGGCCGAGGGGCGCGGCTAGGGGTGACGGGGCCAACGGGGCCGAGGCGCGCGGCTAGGGGCGATGGGGGCGACGAGGCCAACGGGGCCGAGGGGCGCGGCTAGGGGCGACGGGGCCAACGGGGCCGAGGGGCCGAGCTAGGGGCAACGGGGTCGACAGGGCCAACGGGGCCGTGGGTCGCGGCTAGGGGCGACGGGGCCAACGGGGCCGAGGGGCACGGCTAGGGGCGACGTGGCCAACGGGGCCGAGGGGCGCGGCTAGGGGCGACGGGGGCAACGGGGCCAACGGGGCCGAGGGGTGCGGCTAGGGACGACGGGGCCAATGGGGCGGAGCTAGGGGCGACGGGGTCGACGGGGCCAACGGGGCCGTGGGGCGCGGCTAGGGGCGATGGGGCCAACGGGGCCGAGGGGCGCGGCTAGGGGCGACGGGGCCAACGGGGCCAAGGGGGGGGGGGCGAGCTAGGGGCGACGGGGTCGACGGGGCCAACGGGGCCGAGGTGCGCGGCTAGGGGCGACGGGGTCGACGGGGCCAATGGGGCCGAGTGGCGCGGCTAGGGTCGACGGGGCCAACGGGGCCGAGGGGCGCGGCTAGGGGCGACGGGGCCAACGGGGCCGAGAGGCGCGGCTAGGGGCGACGGGGCCAACGGGGCCGAGGGGGGCCGAGCTAGTGACCATCGCCTCCACCACTCTGCACCGCTGCCTCTACCACTGCTCCAAGACATGCGCAAGGTGTGCCCCCCTCTCTGGCTCACAGCTGTTTGCTCGTGCACAAGTGTGTAGGGGTGACAGCAGGTCATGCACAAGGTGGGCTCTCTGGTCTTGCACACATGTTTAGGGGTAACAGTAGGACATAGCACAAGGTGTGGGTGTAACTGCAGGTATAGCTGCACGGCAGCATGACCACTGCCGGCACAACTCTGCTCCATGCCCCCCTGCTATTGCTGCTTGTGCCGCTGCTCCCCCTCACACTATCGTCACTGATGCTGCTGCCATGTGAGCTGCGAACCATGTCTCCCATTCTCCCTCCCATTCTCCCTCCTCTCCCTCCGATTATCCTTCTTCTCCCTCACTCACTCCCTCCCAATCTCCCTCCTCTCCCTCTCACTCCCTCCCATTCTCCATCCTCTCCCTCTCTCACTCCCTCCCATTCTCCCTCCTCTCCCTCTCTCCCTCCGCCAGGAGCTGGATGCAAAGGCGTGTGCGCTGTATCTTTCAGTGGGGATGCTGCACCACTCCGTGTCCACGCCACAAGTGCACAAGCTGCTCACACAGATCAATTTCAACGGCTACTACTCACTCTCCACCACTTGATCTGTCGCCCTTGGTGACCAAATGATAGCGCCTTGTTGAGGACCGATTGAGAGGTAGCAGCAGGGGCAGGCAGGACTCCAGCGGAGCATCAATCCGGCAGCACTGAACACCATCTTTGATCAGGAAATCTAGAGAGATGGTTGGCGGTAGTAGTGCCAGTGGTTTTGCGGAAGTGCTTATGGTTTTTTTTTATTTTTACTGAAGTGTTCTTAAGTCATGCAATTTATATCTATGCTATCACATTACATTTATAACGAATATAACTTTGAGCACCATGAATTTTTAGCGTCGTTGTGTACTGCCACGTGGCGTGAGTAGCGTATCCGACACGCCTACCGCTGTCCCTTAATCTCCTAAACCCCGCACGACTGTCCGCTCACGCCGCACTCGGCAACCCCTCGCACCGAATCGCGGCAGTTTCAGTCGGCGCTACGGGTATAGGCAATGTTACCTGCCGTTTACGAGCCCATGCGAACCCTGCGATTACAGAATTTCGCACACGCCGGTATTGCTTGTCCGAGAATACGATCAGCCATTGCCCGCACCGTGACTAATGATATATGCAAGTTATTTAACGCTAGGTTAAATTTCCACTCCTGTCACCAATTGTGTCCTCCGTTTCGAGGCATCGCGGGTTATTTCAGCGCTCGCTGCGTTTCCTTCTCGCAGCGCAATTTCCACTCCTTCTCTTCTCCCACTTTAGCTTCTCTGCGAGGGACTAGTTCGCGATCCTTAGCAACGATTAGCGAAGGCAGGTCAGTGTTACATGAACCTGCGACTATCGCGGCGGCATTCGCGTCGTCAAGTGCCATGGGGGGTGTTTGCCTGTCGCGAACTACAGTGGATGCTGACGTGGATGGACGGCAAATGCGGGCAGGGGAAGCGGGAATCACGGCGACTGGGACCGTTGAGGCTACGGGGGGCGGTCCGAGGAGCGGTGGGAGGCTTCGGATTGTGATTATAGGGGATGTGGTGAGTTGGTGATTATAGGAGACATGGTGAATAGGCGCTTATAGGGGATATGGTGAGTAGGTGACTATAGGACGTGTGGTGACCTGACAGCAGCAATCGCTGCCGGGTGATAGTGCTTGGTGGGCACTGGAGCAGGGCCACTGCCACGTGGCAGCACGAGATACACATACTAGCCTCAGTGTGTATGTGTACTAGCTCGTAGCGTGATGGTGAATGTTTTGAGACGTCTCAAAGCGCGGTGGTGAATGTCAATGCTCATTGCCGTGGCTGGGGCTTGGTTCAATCTCGATCGATTCACTCTGTTGAACACGGTTTTCTCGAGTTTCACTTACAGTCTAGTAAAAAAATCCCCCTCTCCCCATCAGCATGTGCCTTTGGTTGCTCACCTATCCTCCTCCACCAATCGCAGCACGGCATGTGGCATTCGTGGAGGGATCTGGCTGCTCTGAAGCTCCTCAAGGTGATGCCCGGCCCGGTTGTGCTGTGCCTTCAGAATCGTGTGCACATCACCACAGCCTTGACGTGGCACTGCTGTGCGGCACATCTGAGAGTCACTCTTGAGAAATCTCAGAGGTCAGTTCTGAGAATTCAAAAAAAAAAAAAAAAAAAAAAAAAAACTTGAAGTGGCAATGCTGCACGGCACACCAACCATGTTCATCCCATTGTCACCCACAACCACAGCATTGGCTTCGTCCTCCACAATTCAGCCTTCAAGCCATGATCACATAACCACCACTTTCAAAGCACTCTACTAGTCCGGTCCAATCATCATGTCACTGCTTGCAGTTCACATTCACTGGCGTCTTGTTTCCTTCATACTCGCAGCGTCATCATCTCGTCTTCCAATCACCCCCTTCCGCCATCCCTCCCTCGCTTGCCCACGTCCCACTCCTGCGTCACTTTTTCCTCCCCTTTCCATTCATTGTTCTTCTGCAAATTCCCGAAACTGTTTCTTACCGCATCGCATCGCATTTCGTCTCATTCAAATCCCCTCTCCGCTCATTACCCTCCCCCGACCCCCCCGTCCCTCCAACCTGTCATGCTCTGCACTTTACAACCCCCCATGTGCCACGGTCACGCACTGCGCTGCCGGGAGCCAGCCAGACATCATTCTCTTTGTCGGTGCGTGCCTTCTCCTTCCATCCTTGCGTGACCTGCCCGCCTACCTTTCATGAGCCTTCCCAGTTCTTCCTCTGCAGGCCTCTCGTCTGTCTCTCGTTTTCCACCCTCTGCTCGCATGCGCGCATTGCGGTTGCTACCACAGCTGCAGGTTCCGCTTTGCTAGTGTTCCACTCGTCATACGATAATCTGGTGTGTCAACCTTATAGAAACATTCGACTGTGGCACAGTGCAGCGTGTGATCATACATGCAAGCAGCAAGCAGACATGTGCATGCAGCAGCACATCACCATGCGTGCGCCCTTACACGGACCATCCTGGGCCCAAGGGGAGCTTGGCGAGGAGTAGGTGTGGCTGGTTTTTGAGTCAGGTTTGAGATGTGCACCACCCTATGCTTAACCCAACCCGTCACGTGCAGGGGACTTTGGAGAGGAGCAGGTGGCAGCAGGTGGCAGGTGGCAGCAGGTGGCAGCAGGTGGCAGCAGGTGGCAGGTGGCAGCAGGTGGCAGCAGGTGGCAGGTGGCAGCAGGTGGCAGCAGGTGGCAGGTGGCAGCAGGTAGCAGGTGGCAGCAGGTGGCAGGTGGCAGCAGGTGGCAGCAGGTGGCAGGTGGCAGCAGGTGGCAGCAGGTGGCAGGTGGCAGCAGGTGGCAGGTGGCAGCAGGTGGCAGGTGGCAGCAGGTGGCAGCAGGTGGCAGCAGGTGGCAGCAGGTGGCAGCAGGTGGCAGGTGGCAGCAGGTAGCAGCGGCGAAGACCATGATGGGTGCAATGGGCGCTCAGGTGTAGGTGGCAGTCATTCCGTGTGCGCCATTTCATCACATCACATCACCCTTGCACCACCCTATGCCCAACCCATTGCGCATGACAGGCGACTTTGGAGAGGAGCAGGTGCAGCTGGTGCAGCAGGTTTCGGCAGTGAAGGCCATGATGGCTGCTGTGGGCGCGCACGTGGAGGTGGCAGTCATTCTCGGCAACCATGACGCCTGGTTCCACATGTTCAGGTGCTCTCAGGTGTTCAGGTGGTTCCACATCAGGTGCTTTCACGTGTTCAGGTGCTTGGTTCCACATGCATGTTCAGGTGCTGCTCCTAACGTCAGGTGGTTTCAACAAATGCAACATATTTCGCCAAACAGTCGTCACAATTCCATGCGTCCAACCCAAGCCACGCACCCATTTTGCTGCTCTGCAACATCTGTCGTGACACCACGCGCACTGACTCCGTGTTCCATAACTTTATCATGGCAAGCATCGTTCCTCTCGTCCATCCCTCGTTATGTCGACTCTCGCACGGAAGGACAGTGCTTCATTGGTTGAACCCCAGTGGATAAATGCACGCAGCATGTGGATACATTGATTGTTCGTGCGGCTCTGAGTGGAGTGCAGGAAGGAGAGTGCGCCACTGATGCAAGCAGTGGGCAAGCGCCACATGTTACTCACCGTGCCTCATTTGTTCCTCGCCTTGCCCCATGTGTTCATGTCGTTTTGTGTGGAGTGCAGGAAGGAGAGTGCGCCACTGGTGGACGCAGTGGATAAGCTCACTCAGCAGCTTGAAGCGTATGCTCTCTCTTTGCCTCTCTCTCCGCCTCCTCCTCTGCTCCTCCCATCGCCTCTCACTCACCACCTCTCATCTCATGCCCCTGCTCTCTCTGGTGAAATTTTGTATCTCCCGCCACTGCGTCTCGTTCACCTGCTCCTGTTCTTCATGGTACCATGTATTGAATGATAAGCTCGTATGATGTATTGAATGATAAGCTCGTATGATGTATTGAATGATAAGCTCGTATGATGTATTGAATGATAAGCTCGTATGATGTATTGAATGATAAGCTCGTATGATGTATTGAATGATAAGCTCGTATGATGTATTGAATGATAAGCTCGTATGATGTATTGAATGATAAGCTCGTATGATGTATTGAATGATAAGCTCGTATGATGTATTGAATGATAAGCTCGTATGATGTATTGAATGATAAGCTCATATGATGTTAAGCTTGTTCATGCCTTTCAATCCCATGTGATACAACCCTTTCTTCACGGCTTCGCCTGTTCCACGAGCACCAACAATAAATCTCTCATCATCTTCCTCTTCTGTAACACCGTATGTTCACCTGATTAGCACTGCTAGTTCTCCCCACTCTCCCACGTACATTCTCCATCGCCATGAAACTTGTACCTCTCTTTTCTCACTTCCATCGTGCCTTCTCCGTGCCTCACCAGGCTCGGCAGTCTGCACGTGGGGTACGGGCGGGTGGACCTCCCCCAGTGGCACCTCTCCATCGTGGGAGCTCGCCCCTTCTCCTATGGCCCCTCCAGCTGGGCTAAGAGCTTCTACCGCGCCAGGTGGGGTTTTACCGCACCAGGTGGGGGGTGCACGGATGTGGCACGGTGCAGAGCGGTTTTAAGGCGTAGGGATATTGCAGTGGCAGGTGCAGAGTATAGAGAGGTTGCAGTGGGGAACAAAGGGAGGCTGTAAGGTGCAGAGAGGTTTCAATAACAGGAACACCCACTTGTGGGTGGCTCTGCCTTTCATTGAGGTATGATGAGAAACACCCATGCTTCAGTTGCTCACACATGCATCCAATCCATCCATATCCATCCCCTATCCACACACCATCAGGTGTGGAGTGCGCACCATGAACGCCAGCACGGCAAAGATCACAGAGACCATCCGAGCAGCACCGGAGTCACACAGCGTTGTAGTGCTCGCACACAACGGGCCCGCAGGTGAGGGAGCTTCATGCCGGTGGGGTGGCTTATTCTTCATTTGCTTGCTTATTTATTGAGTGACTCACACCAACGGGCCCGCACGTGAGAAGACTTTTGATGCTGGTGGGGTGCTGACATAAGGCCGCATTGCCACAGATTCAGCTCCTCGTCTGTTTTCAGAGCAGTACCAGCATCGCCCAGCATTGTTGCTCACGCCTGGACCCACAGTGCAGCCAGGAGAGCATGGGATGCCATGGCATTTGTCATAAACCTTTCGCTTCATATGCCTACTACCCTCGTCCTGCTCCTTCGCTTCTCTTCCTCCTGCCCTCGCCCTGCTCGCCCTCACCTTGGCAGGCGTGGGGTGCAGCGCATGGGACATATGTGGCAAGGACTTCCCCTCCAAAGGGCTCCCACCAGGGGGAGACTTTGGGGACGAAGGTGAGAAGGGGGGGATAGGGGTGGGGTGGGGGGAGGTGGGTTCTTCCTTTCCTGCTGTCGTTTTTTCCCTCCCCTTCCTGCCCTTGTCCCTCTGTAACGCATCACTCCCGCCCGTGACCTCTCTATCACGATATATGGTAACCAGAGGCATCCCATCCGCCATGGTCGCATTTCCCACTCCTCCCAATTTGCCTTCTCGCGAGCAGCTCTGGCAAACCAATTCCACATTTTCTCCTGCTCTCCGCACACATACACATGCACCGCCATCCCTTTTCTGCCAACCACTTTTCCCCCCATCCTTCTACGCACGTCTTCCCTCAAGAGTTACCCGGCGATGATCACAGCATCTCTGCCTAGCAGGTACCGCAGCCCTCGGTGGGTGTCTGCTGCTGTCTGCTGGTGTTGGACCAAACGCACCAAATTTTCAATCCAACCACCCTTTTCCCATCCAGATCTATCCAGGGCAATCACAGCGTCGCTGGAAGACGGGCGGCACATCCCACTGGTGGTGTTTGGCCACATGCACCGCGACCTCTTCCCCTTCAACTACCGCTCCCGCTCCAACCGCCCCAGCACCCTGCACAGTGCCCCCACGTGGCAAGGGGAGGCTGTCACCCAGCGCCGCATGGCAGCAGTGCTGCTGCACCCTCATTCCCCACCTCTCCCCTCATCTGCTGCTTCCCCTCCAGCCACTGCCACTCCGCCTGCTGCACAGCCTACCATCGCTGCCCCAGCCACACTTGCTATGTCTGCTGCTGATACTACTACTCATGCTCCCTCCACCAATTATGCCAGCACCTATGCCAGCAACCAAGCCAGCAGCCACACAGTGTTTCTCAATTCTGCAGTCGTGCCTCGAATAGTCTCTCTTGACGAGGAGCATTTCACCCAAACCTCTGGGCCAGGCTTGGCAGTGTACCCGGCTCTTGGTTCGGAGCCGCTCGACGCAACCCCAGGGCTATTTCTGCCGTACCTGAAAGGAGTGGAAGGGAGAGGAGGCGGTGGGTCAGAGGGTATAGAGAGAGGCGTCTGCAGAGGCATGGAGGGGTTAAGGATGGGTGATGCAAGGGATGGCAATGGAGAGGGGGAGGCGCAGGTGCCGGTGCAAACAGGGTGTGTGACAGATGACACCTCACTTGCTGATATGCTATTACAACGAGTGGTGGCTAGTGTGAGGGGTGACGATGGGGAGGGGCGTGGCGAGGGGCATGTGGTTGGGGAGGGGTGTGGGGAAATGTGCGGTGGAGACGGGGGAGCGGAAAGAAGAAAAGCAGCAGAAGCAGTGGTGTGGGAAGATGAGGTGCGGTGGGATGGGGTGGATGGTGTAGCGGTGGGAGAAGTGATGGGGGAAAGGGATGCGGGTGCAGCCCCGTCGCTGCACCACTTTGTGCTGGCACACCTGGCAGTGCAGGGACCATTAGAGCAGGGGCAGGTGGGACTGGGGCAAGTCGGGCAGGGACAGGCAGGGCAGGGTCCAGTGGGGCAGGAACCTGTGCTGCCTTCGTTGGGTGACTCGGTGGTGGCAGCTGCTGGTGACGGTGGCAGGGAAGGGCAGTGTGTGGGCGGTGGGGAGGGCCGGTGGGTGTGTGTGGGGGCAGAGGACGTGTGGGTGAAGGTGGATGAGCGGACGAGTGGTGGGGGGAGTAGGGGGATGGTGGCATGCTTGCACAGGAAAGACAGGAGGTGATATTTGAATGTGAGGTGAGAATGAGGAGCAAATACTGGAGGAGATGGTTGATACGCGTAGTAGCTTTGCAACAGAGTTGAATGGGGAGGATGTCTATACGTTCTCTAGAATAAACATTAAGGGTACATTCCTGGATCGAAACTTTGTCAAACTTATATCTGCTATAGTCTGTTTAGGCTGTAGTGGGGTAGTTCTTAGAGGGTACAACACTTTTGTGTTCTCTACTTGTACCCATCTCGTTTCTAGTTCAATCATTCATTCTTCAATTATCTCACATGGTATAGAGCTAGTTCGACTTTTTTTTCCTAAGGGCCCACCACTAAAACGATTTTTTTCCTTACCTGCCCGACGCGCGCGTCGCGCTTGCCCTTCGCGGCCCCTTCGCGGCCCGTAGCGGCCCCCCTCACGGCCCGTAGAGGCCCCTTTGCGACCCGTAGTGGCCCCTTCGTGGCCCGTAGCGGCCCCCCTTGCGGCCCGTCTCGGCCCCTTTGCGGCCCGTGGCGACCCTTTCACAGCCCGTCGCGGCCCCTTCTAGGCCCGTCGTGGCCCCTTCGCGGCCTGTCGCGGCCCCTTTGCGGCCCGTAGCGGCCCCCCCTTTGCGGCCCGTAGCGGCCCCCTTTGCGGCCCGTAGCGCCCCCCCTTATCGGCCCGTCGCGGCCCCTTTCACAGCCCGTCGCGGCCCCCTCACGGCCCGTCGCGGCCCCTTTCACGGCCCGTCGCGGCCCCCTCACGGCCGTCGCGGCCCCTTCACGGCCCGTCACGGCCCCTTCACTGCCCGTCGCGGCCTGTAGCGGCCCCCCTTCCGGCCCGTAACGGCCCCCTTTCCGGCCAGTAGCGGCCTCTTCGCGACCCGTGCCGCCCGTCCCTGACCAGCCGCCCGTCGCCTGACCAGCCGCCCGTCCCTGACCAGCCGCCCGTTGCCGACCTGCCGCCCGTCCCTGACCAGCCGCCCGTCGCGAACCTGCCGCCAGTCCCTGACCAGCCGCCCGTCACCGGCCTGGCCCTGCCCTGCTGCCGCCCCAACAGCGGCCCCTGGTAAGCACTCGTGCTCCCCTCCCCTCCCCCCTCCCTCCTGCCGCGCCGCCGGTAGCCGAGCCGCGCCGCCCAACCGAGCCGCGCCGCCCAGCCGAGCCGCGCCGCCCAGCCGAGCCGCGCCGCTCCGCCGAGCCGCGCCGCCCCCACCGAGCCGCACTGCTCTGCCGAGCAGCACTGCTGCTACTGCTTCGACTGCTGCTACTGCTTCTACTGCTGCTCCTGCTGCTACTGCTGCTATCACTGCTTTGCACTGCTGCTGCTCCTACTGCTATTATGGCTAGTCCCACCGTTCTCACCTTTGATGCTGAGGGACGTGCAGTTGGCTTTGACGTGTCGGTTGACGATCTCCAGCTGTTTCTTCAGTGTGATTCTAGGGATGGGGCATCTCTTTTCGATCACACGTCTGGTGTTTCCACTGCTCCTGCTGTCACTGCTGACAGTACTGTTCGCTCTCAGTGGACCACTCGTGACGCTGTTGCTCGTCTTGCTGTTCGTAGTCACCTGCCGCCTGCTGAGCGCGCACACTTTGGCCAGTACAAGACTGCTCAGTCTTTGTACGACGCTGTAGTTGCACGCTACTCCTCCCCTTCCACTGCTGCACTCAGCCGCCTCATGCTACCGTACCTTTTCCCTGACCTTGCGGCCTTTGCCACAGTCGCTGACCTTCGCACTAGTGACGCCCGCTACCGTGCTGCCCTTCCCACTGAGTTCTGTGCCAAGAACCCCCCCCCCCCATGTACATCACCCTTTACTACCTAGTCACCCGCCTCCCTGACTCACTTTCCTCGGTCAAGGATCACTTCCTCTCCCTTTGCCCCACCGAGCTGACTGTCGACCTGTTAGAGGAGCGCCTTACTGCAGCTGAGAAGAGTATCTTAGCTGTAGGTGCTTCTCGCGGCAACCGTCGCACCCCTTTCTTTGAGGGGTGTTCCCCTGTCCCCCTTCTCCCCTCTGTTGCTTCTGCTGCTGCTGTCGACCTCGTTGGCATTGAGGAGGTCGGGGCTGCGTCTGCTCTGAGTGGGAGACGCCGCAACAGCAAGGGCAAGGGGAGCAGAGGTGGTGGAGGGGGCGGCCGGGGGGGTGGTGGAGGAGGAGGAGGGGGTGGCGGTGGAGGTGGGGGTGGCACCGGGAGTGGGGGCTTCAGTGGCAGCAGTGGAGGTGGTGGAGGCAGCGGCGGAGGTGGTGGAGGCAGCGGCAGCGGTGGTGGAGGTGGCGGCGGCGGCGGCGGAGGTGCTGGTCGTGGTGCAGCCGCGTAGCGTGGAGGCGCTGGTGGTAGCCAGCGTCTGCAGCAGCCGCGCTCCAGTGAGACCCCGTCGGTTCAGCAGCTTTGTGAGTGGTACGCTGGGCGTGGGAGGTCTGGGGGTGCAGGTCCCTGCGCTTACGTTCTTCGCACCGGCCCTCGTTGTGGGGAGGTGTGTGGGCTCCCACACACCACGCAGCGCTGCTTCGGTCGCTTGACTGACGCTTGGCGTACCCAGTTTCCTGACTCTACTGAGCTCCCTCGTTGGCATGATCTGCTTCTGCAGAATGTGCTATCCTTGCTGCCATGTATGCTCTTGCTGATATTACTGAGGGTGACTGTTACCTGAGTGTCCCGCCCGACCCGGGCACTGCGGCTGCTGCTCTAGGTGCTAGTGCGTCTGCTGCTCCAGGTGCTGGTACGTCTACTCTCTCTGGTACTGCACCTACTGAGGCCTTGCACACTTTCACACTTGACTCTGGTGCTTCGCGCTCTTTCTTTAGAGACAGCACCACGCTCACGCCGCTCAGTCGGCCTGTTGCGGTCTCCCTTGCTGACCCCTCAGGGGGCCTAGTCCTTGCACACTCCTTCACGGTTCTACCATGTCCTGCGGCCCCGTCGGGCTTGCTGTCGGGACTCCACCTCCCCTCGTTCTCTACGAACTTGGTGAGTGGAGCTGACCTCCAGGACGCGTGGGTTGACCAGTTCACCCCTGGAGGTCAGCGTGTGACCCACTGCACTTGATCTCGGACGGGTCGCAACCTGGCCACGTTCACCCGTCGGCCAGGGTCGAGTCTGTACACACTGACTACTGCGCCTCCTCCGGTCTCTGCGTCTGGTCAGGTAGCTCCGTCTAGTCAGGTGTTTGCTGCCGCGTCCAGGTCTAGTCCTGCGTCTGCCCCCTGCTCGTGTCGTCCTCTGTCGCACGAGACTCTCCTTTGGCACCACCGCCTTGGTCACCCCTCCCTGCCTTGTCTTCGAGGTATGGCCTCCCGTGCCCTTGTCTCTGGTCTCCCCAGGTCCCTCCCTCCCCTTCCTCCGGGGCCTGCCCCCACCTGTGTTCCTTGTGTCGAGGGCCGGCAGCACGCCGCCCCTCACTCCTCCTCGTTCCCTCCGACTGAGGCTCCTCTGCAGACTCTTCACATGGACGTGTGGGGCCCAGCCCGCGTCCGTGGACAGGGTCACGAGCGTTACTTCCTGCTGGTCGTTGACGACTACTCGCGTTACACCACAGTCTTCCCCTTGCGCAGCAAGGGTGAGGTCCCTGAGGTGTTGATCGACTGGATCCGCGGTGCTCGTCGCCAGCTTAGTGAGAGTTTCGGCTCAGACCTTCCTGTTCTGCGTCTGCACTCAGACAGAGGCGGGGAGTTTTCCTCCGACCTCCTGAGAGCCTTCTGTCGTTCTGAGGGCATCCGCCAGACGTTCACGCTTCCGGCCTCCCCGCAGCAAAATGGGATTGCTGAGCGCCGCATTGGCATGGTCATGGACGTCGCTCGTACGTCCATGATCCATGAGGCTGCTCCCCATTTTCTGTGGCCGTTCGCGGTTCAGTACGCAGCGCATCAGATCAACCTTCAGCATCGTGTCTCCTTGCCGGAGACCACACCTACTCTGCGGTGGACGGGGAAGGTTGGCGATGCGTCCGCGTTCCGTGTCTGGGGATCTCGAGCTTTTGTCCGCGATACTACTGCGGACAAGCTGTCCTCCCGTGCCAATCCCTGTGTCTTCCTTGGCTTCCCTCCTGACGCACCCGGGTGGCAGTTGTACCACCCCACCTCGCGTCGTGTTCTGTCCTCTCAGGACGTCACGTTTGACGAGTCGGTGTCGTACTACCGTCTCTTTCCCTACCGCACTGCCTCTCCCTCTCCCCCGCCGCTCTTCCTTGCCCCAGGTACTCCCCCGGTAGACCCCCTCCCCCCCCAGGGTCCTGCCCCCTCAGGTGTGTCCCAGGTAGACCCTGCCGAGCCGGTCGAGGTAGCTGTCGACTCAGGTGCTGAGTCTTGGGGTGCTGGGCCTGCGGGTGCGGGGACTGGGGGTGCTGAGACTGGGGGTGCTGAGTCTGGGGGTGCTGAGTCTGGGCGTGCTGAGCCTGGGGGTGCTGAGCCTGCGCGTGCTTCGTCTGGAGGTGCTCTCGGTGTCCCGCCGCGGCGGGAGCCTCTCTCTCCACAGCGGCTTCGTGAGTGGTACTCTCGGCTCTGTCGGGGTACTGCTGGGGCTTCTGGAGGTGCTGCTGGTGCTGGTGCTGCTGGAGGTGCTACTGGTGCTGGAGGTGCTGCTGGGGCTTCTGGAGGTGCTGCTGGTGCTGGTGCTACTGGAGGTGCTGCTGGTGCTGGAGGTGCTGCTGGAGCTTCTGGAGGTGCTGCTGGTGCTGGTGGTGCTGGAGGTGCTGCTGGAGGTGCTGCTGGTGCTGGAGGTGCTGCTGGGGCTTATGGAGGTGCTGCTGGTGCTGGTGCTACTGGAGGTGCTGCTGGTGCTGGAGGTGCTGCTGGAGCTTCTGGAGGTGCTGCTGGTGCCGGAGCTTTTGGAGGTGCTGCTGGTGCGGGTGGTGCTGGAGGTGCTGCTGGAGGTGCTGCTGCTGCTGGAGCTGCTGGAGGTGCTGGAGGTGCTGCTGGAACTGGAGACCCTGAGGCTGAGGGTATCGGTCCTGTTTCTGCTGTTTCTCGAGGCGCTGCGTGGCCGCGGCCGTACTACGTTCCGCTCCTTCAGCAGGTTCTTAGCTCACCGC